ATATATGATCTAAGAGATATGAACTTTCAATCTAATGGTTAGATTTTCAAAATTCACATTTAATATAAAGTTATTAAGCGGTGTAACACTTAGTAAATATATATATATATATATATATATATATATATATAATAATCATATAATATACAACATCACACCACAATCATATATAAAAATTACAACACTCCAAGCAAACATGTATCTCATTCAAACCATGTCACACAAGACATCAACAATGCATATGAAGACACCTCAACACATATCATATGCAACATATCAATCAATGCGTCGTCATACATTCACCTATGAAGATCTCCTAACAACATAAATAATCTAAGTGATTTCCACCTTATTGAGCTAACCCAATCATTTTCACGCCCAAAACATCGATTCAATCACAACAAAATGGGATATCAATCCCTTATATTGTTTCTCAGATCTTATCACTTACACTAGGAAAGTTTAGTTCCATAGTTAGGAATAGTACAATTGAGCATAGACTTACCATGACCTTAACATGCATTACCGAGTCACATATGGAATTCACATACTAATTATCCTTAAGGAACTACACAATCTTTCTAGATATTTGATTAAGGGTTTTAACCCTCAACCTCCTACCTTAACCACTAACTAAGTAATTAAAGAAGACTCAACATACCTTAAAAACCTACTCCAAGAAACACACCTACTCAAGGGGGGTTTTCCCAACAATGACCTACTCAAGCACCACTTCAAGATACCTTATGTGGGATTTTCAATTTTCAAAATAATCTTATTTCCTTAATTCATAAGTTAACCACCATGTTTTAATGTCACACGACATTCTCAACATCTACACTTCACCATACATCTATTATATACATCACTTTTAGTTAATGCATATAGAGATCAACAACATCAATCATGTATGACATGTCAATGCTTAGCACCTTAACCAAAAATAGCATATCAATGCTTAATAATACATCCAAGTATAGCATATCAAATGTACATAACATATCAATACTCATCACCATTTCAACTAAACAAATATAGCATACTAATGCTTATTATCATCATTCTACATCATAAAACATGCAATAGATACAAGTATTTTGTTCATGTTCACCAAATTCACCTATCATACAATATGTATCAACATATAATTTATCCAAATCACTTATCATACAATGACAACTTTCAGATAAAACATCATATAAGAAGTTATAATACTCCTATCATGCTCATCCCTATCTCATATGAAAGATAAGAAGATTTTCTACAACTTTTATGAAGACCTCAAGTTCTAATTTTATCATATACCATGTTGAAATTGTAAAAATTGCAATAGTTTAGTTAGATGTTAACAGCTTGACCTCTACTCACTAAAAAGGTCATAATTGAAGTTTTATATCTTTTTTTTAAGTGATTCCAAAGTCATTGGAAAGCTAACATTCAAGAAGATCCTAAGACCAAATTCAATCATTTACTCCATCGTTGTAGTGCTCAATTTGGAGTTTCAGTGTTAGATTTTTGTCAGCCTAATTTTTCTTATGGCTGCAACGCTAGATCTCTAGCCTAGTTTTTTCCATAACTACAACGCTCAACTACAACTATAGTGTTGAGCGTAGAATTTTTCTGTATTTTCATGGTTTTCCTTTGTTTCTCACCTGCACTTCACAAATTTTCTTCCTAAACATCATTCATAACTCATTTTCACTATTAGATTCATACATGCAACTCAGGAATTTCATAAAACACCACATACAACTGTCAAAGTATCAAGATCCCCCATTTATGCCCAACTCATTCAAGAACATCCACAACCCTAACTAATACATATTATCTATTTAACTCAACCAACTCAACCACGAATCACATATTTAATAATGATCCAACCACATGTAACTCAAATGTAGCAACATTTTGAATTCTAACTTCCCTTACCTAGATTTTAGTCGCAGAAAGAAGAGAAGAGAAACAAAAAAGAGGATAAAAGAATTATGCAACCTCCAAGCTTTCGAGGTAACACTCCACCACCCTCACAACTTATTTTCCTTTTTCATGAGTCAACCACAAAGAAGGAAGGAACTTCAACTACAACACCCTCAAACACTCTCAAGGCTTATGAAGAGAAAAAGAAAGAAAAGGGACTCAACGATATATACAAAATTTTATTTTTTTTTATTTTGATTATGAAGAAAGAATAAAATCAAATTGGGACTTATTAGATAGAAAATAGCAAACAGTGATGGAGTAGGAAAATAAATGCACAAACTCTTTGAAGTTCATATGACTTCTAAATTTCCAATAAGTTAACATACGTTTATATATACATTAATATAATTAATTTTGAATAAATATAAATTAAAAAAAATTGATTTAGAACAAATATGACTTAAAAATAGTGTAATTTTCACTTAAATGTGACTCAAGTAATATAATTTTCATTTGAATGTCAAAGGATGTAAACTCGATATTCATATTGAATGTTATTTAAAAATTTATTACTCCTAAGAAAATGTAAAATTAGACATTTTTAAATCAACTTTACTAATAACCAAATACTCAAACATTTTGTAATGTGATTTAATCATCTTAGATGCAATAAAATTAATTTCAATACATGTTAAAAGTAAAACCAAACATGATCTCGTCCATGAAATGAGCATTCGAACAATCGTTGGGGTGGGTTCATTGATTAGTACACCTCCGGTGCTGATAAGGTCGGGACCGTGGTCGTCCGTCTCCGGTTTGCCGGCCGATAGGATCTCTGAGATTGACCAGCCAGCTGGGTTGGTTTGGCTATTCATTTCTATTGAAAAGGAGTCAGCTGTCTGCGCGAGTCACCGTCTTCTAGGCTCCGCTGGAAGACACGGCATTCTCGTTTAAATATAGGCCGGCCGCACTTGTGATGGTTCCCAAAGATCCAACTCTTTCGAAGTTTGGGAATCCCTTTGTCTTGATCATACCCTTTTAATTTTTCACGGACAGGATTCCAATTTCATATGAAAAATAGATATTAACAGATCTTCAAAATGCAGATCAAATTCACGTGCAATTATGCTACCACCATTTTCTCCGGTCACTGTTTTAGGTCCATACTTTATTCTTTTGGTGTCGTGTTTTAGGTCTGTATCAAAAATAGGGAATAGCAGTGGTAAAACTCAAACATTCTCTCTGGCCACTACCCCAATACACCATGTTTCCAAAGCTAACTACAAATTTAAACAGTGTATATTCAAGACCACATGAATATTCATGCGTTTAATACATGCCCGAAAACACAATTCCCATAAAACAAAAACACAAACTTCAACAAAAGTCACAAACCAATACCACCATTATCACTCTTTACATTGAGGACAAGGAACACTGCAATTATCAAAACAAACAATATTAACATCCTTATGCTATTATAAGAAACTATATTTGTTACGTTCAGATTAAGACCTTCATAGCAATTAGCATCTCAATAGATCAAGAATAATCTTCCATAACACTTGAATCTAAATTAACTTGAAAAATAAAACAAAATAGTTACATAAAGGCAAGCAGATTCACATTTCACATACCACATTTGTTACAACCAATCAGAAGTCAAACCCCAAACATGTCCTTCAAAATCATAAACCCTAACCCTAACCCTAAAGCACAAATCAGGTAGAAACTATCTAAGCCCTCTCGCCCCTAATCCTACGAGCGAGTTGAATGTCCTTAGGCATAATGGTGACCCTCTTAGCGTGAATGGCGCACAAGTTAGTGTCCTCAAACAGTCCAACGAGATAAGCCTCAGCAGCTTCCTGAAGAGCGGAAACAGCGCTACTCTGAAACCTCAAATCAGTCTTGAAGTCCTGCGCGATTTCCCTCACCAACCGCTGAAATGGAAGCTTCCGAATCAGAAGCTCGGTGCTCTTCTGGTACTTCCTGATCTCCCTCAGCGCCACCGTCCCCGGCCTGAAGCGGTGGGGCTTCTTCACTCCTCCGGTCGCCGGAGCGGACTTCCGAGCCGCCTTCGTCGCCAGCTGCTTACGTGGCGCCTTGCCGCCGGTGGACTTGCGAGCGGTTTGCTTGGTACGTGCCATGGTGGACTCAACTGAAAGGAAAGTTTGAAGCTTTGGTTTCTGAATTGAGGGAAAATTGAGAGGGATGAGTAAAATTGGGGAATATAGTGGAATATATATAAGAGGGGATTTTGAGAAGGAGATGGCGCGGGAATTGTGAAAAATTTTCAGAACATCAAAAGAGAAAAGCATGACCGTTGATGGGAGCCAATATCAACGGTTGCCCTTGTGTTAAAGTAAGGGCACACGGATCGCGATCCGTGGCACTACAAGGTAACCAATAGAATTAGTATCGTATTATTCAACAAATATTTTATCTTTTTTTCATGCAGAGTTCATCCGATCTTATTATTTTTTTTTTTTTTATAGTAAGAATCATAATAGTGATAATATGAATATGATCTGTATATATTATTTTGTACATGTTATTTAATCTTTTCACCGTTAAACCAATTTTAAGATTTAGTGATAGTGTTTATTTGAAATAAATTGTTTTTAAAAAATTACAAAGATAAAAATAAGTGAATTTTTAAATAAAGTGAATTAAATGTATACTAAGTTTATTTAATTAAATAATTGTTGTGGGAATTCTATACGTATTTTAATTGATGGAAATTTTCATAATTCTTTATTATAAGAAAAATAAACTCATTTTATGAATATTAAAGAATTCAGTTACATATTAAATATTATTAATTTTATAATATTTTTCTTACATTGTGTTTGATGAATTTTTTACTCAAATAATATTATTTAAAAAAAATTATCCAAATAGCAATTATGTAAATTTATTTTCCCAACTAGCACCATTTACTGTTCACGTTGGGAACGGACCGTTCTGAAATCAGAACGGGCCGTTCCGGATTAAAAAATAACACATAAAAAACGGATCAGAACGGGTCGTTCCAAAATCAAAATTAGCACATAAAAAGTGGAACTAGAACGGATCGTTCTGACCTACAAATAATTTTTTTTTTCGATTTTCACTTATCAAATACCAAAATTCAGAAACTAACATCAAATAATTAAATTTATTGAATATTAACATTATAAATATATCTAAATAAATTTATTAAAATTTAATACAACAATAAAGATCAATGGTGACAGAAACTGATTATGTTGTTCTCTAATGTCCATCTCTGTTTTAATCCTGCTAGACTTTGGCCGACCCTTGAAAGTTCGATTGAGTTCTGGATTTGGGCACAAAGTTTGACCAATGTAAGTAGGTCAATAATCTTCATGTCAGAGCTCTCCAAACTGTCCTTTATATACCTTTCTGGAACTTGTCGCAATCTTACCACATTTCATTTAGCCTTACTGTAAATCTCCCAGCGGGTCAAACTTTTCTCGGATGTTGCGTTTCTTTCAACTTTGTGGCCAAATTCAAAACTCAAGAGAACTTTCAAGGGTCGGCCAAAGTCTAGAAGGATTAGAATAGAGATGGACATTAGAGAAATACATAATTGTGTAAAAAATTGTTCCAATTGTCACACCCCTGGTCATACTAGGAAGACATATCTAAATATTGGTCATGAATTTAGTTTCCACCACCATTGATTTTTATTGTTGTAATGAATTTTAATAAATTTATTTAGTTATATTTATAATAATATTCAGTAAATTTTATCGCTTGATGGTAGTCTCTAAGTTTTGGTATTTGATAAGTGAAAGTCAAACTAAAAAAAAATTATTTATAGGCCATAACGGCTCATTCTGGATGCAAAATGACCTATTCTGGTTCTATTTTTTATGTGCTAATTTTGATTTTAAAATAGTCCGTTCTGAACCGTTTTCCATGTGTTATTTTTTAATCCGGAACGGTCCGTTCTGATTTCATAACAGCTCATTCCGAACGTGAACAATAAATGGTGCTAGTTGGAAAAATAAATTTACACAATTGTTATTTAGGTTTTTTTTTAAATAGTATTATTTGTGTAAAAATTTATGTGTTTGATAGAAAGGAAAAAAATGAAGAGAAGAAAATAATTATCAATAAATAAAAATTTCATTAATCATATATAATTCTTGTATTAAATTAAAATTAACTTCTATATATTAAACATTAATTTCTATTTTATTATAGTATTTTTAGGAAAAAAAATTTAACTTCTTATCTAATTTTATTTTTATTTATCAAAATTATTTATTAATTAAATTTTAATATCTTATAATAAATTATTAATAAAAAAATAATATTAAGTTATAATATAAATTATTCATTATAATTCTAAAATATAATTTATATATTATTGTAAAAAAATATTATTTACATATTTAAAATGCCAATTTATATAAATTTTAAATATAATTTATATATTCAAACATAGTATGTATTGTATAATTTATTATAAATATTAATTGTATATAATAAACATTTAGCTTGTGCATTACACAAGATAAAATATTAATAATTATATTAAAGGAGGATGATGTTAAGGTTTTTTTATGTTTCTCATTTTTATAATAAAGACATTATTTTCAAATTTTATTTTTTTAATGTTTTAAAATTAAATAATAAATAACTAAAAAAACTTCTATCACAATATATATTATTTAGCATAAATTTAAAATATGATTTAAAAATTAAAAAATAATATTGTTTTAAATTTTAATTAAGATATAACTAGAATTTTAACTTGTGCAATGTATATTACCAACTTGAGTTGGCACGAGTGGTGAGAGAGACTTATGTCGTTTAATCAAGTGATCAAGATTTGAATCTGAATACAAAAAACTCAAGTTGGGAATGGATGAATGAGAGAGTAAAATGCCTATAGCAATTTTCAAATGGTTGAGCAATTTGAAAGATTCTTCATGGTGAAGCAACTTCAAGGGTTGGACTCTTTTGAATCCGTTAAACCCTTGAGAAATAAAAAATCTACACCCCTCTAAAGCCAATTTGCTTAGCTCTTTCAAAACAGTTGAATGATTTAATCTTTACTTTAAATCTTGCTCTCTACTCTAAAAGGCTCATCCTTTTGAAAAATGAGTCATTTTTCAAACACCTAATTGGAATTGGAGTTTTTTTTGAATTTTGGATCTTCATTGAATCCGATAAAATATAAAGTAAGAGTTTAAGTAAAATTTTTACCAACTCTTTATAAACTAATTAATTTACACAACTCTTTTGAATATTGTAATAGTTTAAAGGTAAAATACAAATTCCTTTAAAAAATTAATTAAATAAGTATAAAAAAAGAAAGTTATTATTTAGATAAAATCGTTACTTATCAATGTGGTGCAAAATAGATTAGATAAATGTCTTGGAATAAACTTGCTTTGAGTAAAAAAGATGGTGGTATGGATATTTGCAGCCTTCATTTATTTATTTAGTGATGTTTTGGAAACAATGGCAGAAATTTATTTCTAAACCTGATGCTTTGATGCCTAGACTCTTCAAAGCTAAATATTCCTCTCAAGGAGATTTTACGGATTCCATAATCATAATCCTAGTTTTATTTGGTGTAGCATTTGGAGTTCTTAGGTTGTGCTTAGACAAGATTTGAGATGAAGAATCGATGAAAATTCAAAAATTAATTTGTGGAAGGAACCATATGGGTGAAAGGTTTATCAACAAATGTTATAGGGTCACCTCATCCAAGCGTGTCACATATGTTGTTATAAAGGATCTCATGTATTATGATTCTAATGAATGGGATTTGCATTTGATTCACTTGTTGTTTCCACCTTCAGTGGCTGATTTGATCCGACAAATGTCCACCTGTCTTATGTTTTTGAATGACACGCTTATATGGGGCTTGTCACCAAATGATGTGTGTATTTTGTTAAAACTGGTTTACAAGGTTCAAATGCTAAAATTTGGTTACCAGGAGGAGATAAAGGTTAAGGGAGATTGGATTAAAATTTGGAAACTTATTATACCCCTTGAGTGAAGATTTTTATGTGGAAAGCTTGTCGAGATGTTCTCGCAGCACATATGAAGTTGCAAAGTAGAGGTATACATTGTCCAACATCTTGCATTTTTTTGTCCAAAATGACTTGGAGAATACGTGGTATTGAATGTTGTGGAATTCTAACAATGAACAAGTGTAGTATTACAATAAGAAGATACATCTATGCGGGGGACTGATTCTTTACCAAATTAGAGAGATTGTGAGATTTTTTCCTTCTATCATTATCTAGTATGTTATGAGACAAGAAATTTGGTTACTCATTCTTTCCATATTATATGATTCTAAGTATAGCTCTCAATGTATTCAAAATATCGTTTTAATGGAAAGAATATGATTCACTTGCTTAAAAAATATAAATTATTTTTTATAATTATTTTTCAAAGTTTAAACAAATCAATTTCTTTACCTGTTCTTAATTTTTTTTAAAATTACCTTGTTTATAAATACTATTTTTTAATATTAAACAAACTAACCCTGTATCAAAATTCTAAAGCACTTATTTTTTAAACCATTTCCAATAGTTTGATTTTCGTTATTTTATGTTATTAGATTTTTAGTTTTGTATATATTTTTCAAATAAAAAAAAAAACTTCAACAACCCTCACAAATAATATAAAGACAAGTATTTGACGATTAATTTGATAAAAAAAAATGTTACCTACAAAATTCATTAAAAAAGAATAATTGCACGACTCATCTGTAGGACGAATTTGTGTATGTCAAACTCCGTCATCGTTTAATCTTTGTAGTGTGTCGTTTAATCTCATCTAGCGTCTTGCAACCGTACGCGCTAGTATTTCCTGCGCCAAAAGAAGAAAATTAAGAAATCACAAAACCCCGTTTCCGACCAATCGCGTTCGTTCTAACCCAACACCGACGCTTGCGTGATTTTTATTTTTTTATTTTTTTCCGTTTTCGACCCTTACCCAAAACGAAGAAGAAGCAAATAGAAACAAAACGCGATTCGCAACCCATAATCGCTTAAACAATGACCGAGGATAGCACCGTTAGGGTCTCTTCTTCCGACGAAACCTCCTTGGCCAACGATGCTTCGCAAACGAGGCAGAGGTAAACCCTCCTTCATTGAAACGCCTTCGTTTTCGTGTGCTGCAAATTATGTTAAATTGCTTTGGCCTTTGTGCGCTGTTGATTCTGTCGATTCATTCGTCGTTCAGCTTTGTTTTTATCCGGTTTTTGGAATTGTGATTCTTTGTACGGCGCAGTGCCTGAGATTTTAGGGTTACATTGATATTTGATGGAAATGCTAAACAAATTAGACTCTGTTGGATTTGGTGCATGCTTTTTGGGATTTTTTTTTGAGTGTTTTGTTTTTTTGTGTAGAAAGAAGAGAAAGTGGGATCAACCTGCGGAGTCGTTGATGGCAGTTGGTATGGCGGTACCTGGAGTTCTTCCTTTGAGCAATGGTGTGCCCCTTGGAGGGGTTGCATTTCAGGGCTTAGCTCCGGTGATATCCGGCGCTCTTTTGACAAATCCTCTCGCAGCTTCTGCTCAGCTTCAGCAACACACTACTGCCGCCACTGTTTCCGCACAAAAATTGAATCAAGTGAGTGTGACATTTCTAATCTCTAACGGTGTTTATCATTAAACTTCAACATTTAAGTGCGTGTTTGGTTTCATGTTGGATTCTCGATAATCACATTGAAAAATTAATTATCGTCATTTTTAGATAAATTTTCACACGTTTGGTTCCACGCTGAGAAGTTGATCGAGTCTATAATTAATTCCGAGTTAAAACAGCTTGTAGATAAAATTTTCAGCATGCTTCTGATTCCTCTTTTCCTGACTTTTTTACATTATTATTTTTTATATGGATTTTTTTTTTGTATATTTTAAAATTTTTTGAAGTTCCATATCTTAATTGTTGGATGAATTTTCTTGTAGCAAAAGATCCAAGATGAATTAATAATAGCTCGAGAAATTGTCATAAATGATGCAGAGTCGTCTGTTCGCTACAAATTGACAAAACGCCAGACACAAGAGGAGGTGACTTATATATAATCAATTCTACATAATTAAGTTTTAACTCCAAACTCCTTTTAATTTTTATCTTTAATTTTAATCTTCTTCATGCAGATCCAGAGGTGCACTGGTGCCATAGTTATAACTAGGTTTGTAGGCCAAAGGCATTTCTAAAATCCTTTGTTTTCAATCCTCCTGTATGTAATGTACATGCTGAATTTTTTCCATAGGGGGAAGTATCGGCCGCCTAATGCACCACTTGATGGAGAGAAGCCATTGTATCTTCACATATCTGCAGGAGCTCATGTAAAAACTGCTGCTTGATTTCATATAGCTTGACGATTGTGTTAAATAATCATATTTCATTAGATATTTTGTGTTATTCTTTGTTTTGACTCAAAAGTAAAAGCTGCTACCTTATTTTATATAGCATGATGATTGGGTTAAATAATCAAATTTGGTTTGATAATATATGTAATTCTTTGCTCTGGTATGAAAGTAAACATTTATTACTTTATGAAGTTGTTCAGTCAGATGTATAGATTGGAAAGCTTTGAGAAGTCAAGAAAAATAATGTCCAATCAAAGCAATAAATGAAATGTCATATGAAAGGGATTGATTAATGTTTGTAACTTAAAATGATTTTTTAGTCTTCAAAAAAGACTGCATGGGTTGTTTGTATCATCACTCATGACACAGTACTACACATTAATAGTAATGTTTGTCTGTTTTGATGTTTATGCGGAATGGAGTACATAATTTAGTTTGCTTTTGGTGATATCAAATTTTATCACAGATAAAAGAGACAGCAGAACGGATATTAGCTGTTGATCGAGCTGCTGCAATGATTGAAGAAATGCTGAAACAGGGACAAAATTCACAGTCAATCTCTACCGCCTCACCTTCAACATTGGTTAATGGACTGAAGGTAGATATTCATTCAAATATTCAATCATTACTAGCTTATGTGTATCATTGTGATGATGTGATGTGTTAACAATGGCAATGTCTTGCTGAACCAGATGCTGAGTACATGTGTGTTTTTGGGCTTTGATGCTGATCCTTCATTGAACATTGTTGCACGTATACGAGGACCAAATGTATGCCCTCCTACCCAATTAATTTATCTAGTTCATCTTAGAGGTGGTGTTCATGTATATGTGAATAAGTCTGCCACAAGTTTTATTAGAGGATTGCTAGAGCCTATAAGTTTTTTTTTTTTTTGGGTCTCTTGATTTGTGACATGATTAGTCATCTGCTGTTTTGATGACTTTAAAAGCACCTTTTTGTATGGAGCAAAATTTTATGACTAGTTTTTATTCCTAGAGACTGAGGTAAAGTTTGTCCACACACTAACAAGAACAAAGGTTGCTTGTCAAATATCTACTAGTTATAATTTTATTTACCAGTATAAAAAATAGAGGCTGATCATTCTGCAAATTCACACTTCACCCATCAATAAGTAAAACTATACTACTTACCAAACAAAAAAAAAAGATTTGTGCTAAATAGTAACATCGTCCTACTGCCTATGCTATTATTTTTTCTTCAATGCCATGGATCCCTATATTTCCATTTGCTGGATTTAATTCTTTACTTTAATATTTTTGTAATTTTACATTGTGAATAATGAAGTTGAGATAATCTAATGTTTCAAGCTTTCTCTGACATCTCCATACGATTGGGAGAAATTGTTTTGGTGTTGGTGGTGGTTTGGATTTGAACGTGCAGGACCAGTATATAAATCACATTATGAATGAAACAGGAGCAACAGTTGTGCTGAGAGGACGTGGTTCAGGGAACAATGAATGCTTGAATGGTGAAGGTACCTTTTCATTTCTGTGATCTGCACTTGAAGGCATGGTATTTCAGCCATTCAATTTGATTTCTTTTCTGGTTGCAGATGGACAGCAGCCTCTGCATCTGTTTTTGTCAAGTAACAATGCAAAAAGTCTTGAAGATGCCAGGTTTTTGGCTGAAAATCTTTTGGATACAATCAGTACGGAGTGTGGTGCCTTGAGGTATTTAATTTAATATTGTTATAGGGTATGGGATATGTGGGGCAAAGTCCATATTGGAAAATTTCTGAAATTTTTTGCCCTCCTTAGATTTTAGCTCTTTCCATGAAGAAACAGATTTTTTTTTAAAAGCTTAATTTCTTGCTTTTGATAATTCATGTTTGATGTTAGATGCCAACCTACCTTTTGATAATTCATATTTATGCATACTATTTTCAACATGGCAGCATACCTTTTTCATTCATGGATTATTTTTATTACTTGCGCATTTGCAGTGAAGTTTTGGTTTATTACTTTGGCACCTATCATTGAGGAAAAGAGGGCCTAAATAGTAATTTTTTCTCCATCCATCCTGGAAAAACGTGGATCCTCTTTTTAATATAAGGGATTTGATCTCATTATAAGCTAGACAAGAAAGAAATGTAGCAGAGGCTCAGGTGCCTAGCTGTGCACCTGGTGCCTGATGAGAGGTCCTCATCTCTGTAAACAATTGCTGCTTTAAGTTGCTATCAGTAATTTGGAAAATAAACGATGTACAATAGGATGAGACATAATTAGAAGATAAACACTTTAGGTTTTGCATAAGTCCTTACTATGAAGGCTAGCCTTGTATGCCCTAGAATCTAGGGTTTCAGGTTGACGCCTAAGAGCTTTTTCCCTCCACTCACTTCCATGATAGAATCTCATTTATGGATGCATAAATTATTTTCATGAATATATGTTCCCTTTCTGTTGCTGTTTGCTTTATTGACACTTAATAATTATCCTACTGTTAGCCTGTTACCATTTAGTATTCATGTTTTCAATTTGGATACTTCTGGATTGCAGGTGCAGTTCTTTAATATGGACTGTGTTCTTTGATTTTGACAATTTTAACTCTGGACTTTTTATGGATGATTCAAATATTAAATTTAGAACTTTTGGTTTGAAGTTAAATTTAATTTTAGTTTTCTGTGGAACTGAGATCGAGTTTGAGAGGGCAGTTTGTGGGTAGAAAGTCACGGTTTGGTAAATCTGATTGGTAGTAGAGAAAACTTCCCGTCCTCTGCCATTTCAATGCTTTAAACCGTGATATTTGATTATATTTATTATTGGTACCATGATAAACTACTTTATGTTGGATTTATATAAGTTTTAGGGAATAACTTACGATTTAACTGTCATAGGGTTTCATCATGTAAGGTTTATAGTGCTGTTCCACCTCCACAGCAGGTATACACTGCTGTTCCACCTCCCCAGCAGGTATATAGTGCTGTTCCACCACCCCAGCAGGTTTATAGTGGCCCTTCATTGTTAAAGCAGATTCCCACAGCCATTTCACCCCCACAAGTGTATAGTGCTGTTCCACCTCCACAACAGTTGTTGACTGGAGTTCAGAGTTCTGGAATTGAGCCAGAGGCAGGTACTGGCCTAACCACTAGTTCAATGTCAGCAGCTGTGGCCTTGACTCCGGTTCCTCCAGCTTCCTTAGTTGGAGCAGCTGGTGTCACTGCTTCCCTCACTTTGGGCACTACACTACAATCTACAGGACATTTAAGCTCTGGGCCTCAAGCAAACATGATTGGTTATACTCCCCCTTTAGTATCAGGTGGCACTAGCTATATTGGATATGGTGGAATATATCCTCAAGCTACCCCTTTGCAACAAGTTGCCCTTGCCTTGAGACACTCACCTCCTGTCGCATCAACAGTTGCTCCCACAACATCAGCACCAAGCAGAGAATCCAAGTCAACTTCAAGTTCTGATCTTGAAAAGGAGAAACGGCCACCTCAGAAACGGAAGTTTCAAGAATTACCAGTTGGTTCAAAAGGCACAACAAAATTCAATCAGGTCATTGTCATTGATAGAATCTTTAAATAAATCATCGCATGCATCAAGGGAACTACCATTCAATTCTCTTCATTTAACCGTAGTTTCTAGTAAGCTTGCAAATGAATGAAGGGTTTTGTTTACTGGAATTTTTATTTATTTCTATGAATGCGCGTTGGATTATGATATACTATTTGGAAATTTGATATTTCGTAATGTGTCAAAGCTAGAGTTACCTGCCATATGGCTGCAAATTGAGGAGAACCGTGATGAAGCAAGGAAAAAAATCGTTTTGTCATTCTAAGTGGGCAGAATAATTTTTAAGAATCTTGAATCGCGCTTAAAACAATAACACATTCTGTAAACAAGACAACACCAGCTCAGGAACTCCACTGTTAAAACCCCAGTTGAGTTGATACCAACTGACATTTTTATGCAGAGTTGTAGACTGCCTTTTCCTTAAGGGATTCACATAAATGCTTTTTCTTTTGATAAAGATTTTATGCCCACATTGCTATTGAAAATTCTTGAGAATTGAGATTATTCATTGACATTTTTTAAGGCATAATTATCTTTATTATATATGATTTTCATAATGAATGGAAGTCAAGTTATAGGATTGTCAATAAATGAAATGATTTTGAATTTCAAATGCTTTGGAAGGGGGTCAGTTATTTGTTTTGTAGACATATTTGTGGTAAGGTTAATGTCTCCAAGTTGACTGATTTGATGAAAAACTATCCCTTCCCTTCCCTCTTTTCTGACTGCAGTAGGGAATGATACTTTTACTTGTTGCATACATTTTCATGTTCACCTCCAGTTGTAACATTTGGCATTTGACAAAAAAAAATGAAATAAATTAAATCGCTTGTGGATACATATCAGGATCAGGGAGCCTTGTTATCTTATGGTTTTCTTTTTAACTACATCTATAGTTTTCTGTTGATACCTTGCCCTTCAGAACTGAATTCTTTATAACTTTCTTTCTTTATCAAAGAAAAATAAAACTGCAAAACTGTCTCAAATACTCTTCATCTCTAGCTCTGTTCTGAATTAAGCATGGTATTTTGTGCTGACTGTTAATGCTTAATATTCCAGGTATTTTCTCTGACCTTCTAAGAAGCTAAAAGCCTGACACTGGACCTGTCTGTTGGGCCATTGGTTTGTATGTTTGACAGGGTTTTCAGTTTCGGAAGAGTAGGAGGGTGCTTGTGGCTTTACAGCATATGCCCTTGCCAATCCAAGATGTTATTCTGATTTTTTCCTTTGGTAAAATTGCTGCAAAAGAAGTTGTGGCATGCTTTTTTGCCATCCCTCCTCTAGTCCTACATATATGCACTGTCAATGTCCTGAAGAAAAGGGCTTACCAGCACCAAATCAATGCAATCTTTTATAGGGAGAAAGAAGACAATTAGAGATAGGAGAAAATATAAAAACTAGAGAATGAAATATCATACCAAGGTATAATAAGAAATGGAATAAAATAAATAATGTGTGGACGAAGTAAATTAAAATAATGAAGCTCTTCTCCTTAGATGGTGACTTTGAACAGACGCTTAAAAATCGAATATTTGAAAACCATAGTGTTATCAACTTTATCCCAGGGGAGGTGATAAAGATAAAAACCGTGTAAAAAATTGTTGCATTTTTTTTTAGCCAATTACAACTCGGAGTTGTGAACCTTATACACCACCACGGGATCTTGGTAGACATGATCCCAAGTCATTTGAAATTATTCATAAAGAAAAAGGAGAGACAAGAAAAAATGCATCTTGTGTGATACCGATCAACCCATTGCTCACCAAAAAATTGAGTTTCAAGTGTCACCTGTAAACCCAGCGCTCACTAAAAGACCCAGTCTTGTGTGAGATTTATTTATGTTGATATTTGACATCAATGCTACATTTAGTATTGGGTATCAAACCTCTTTATCAGCAAAAATTGAGCCGCACGGCAATAAATTCCGATGCACCTATCCTGATAAATTATTTATCCTTTTACACAATCTGCTAATTTCTGTACTTTCATGTTTGTGTTATCGGGTATGTGACAGTAGATCATGTTAGAATGGTACACTACTAACAAGTCATTGCCTGTTTATCGGGTATGTGACAGTAGATCATGTGAGAATGGTACACTACTAACAAGTCATTGCCTGTTTATCCTACCTTGTATTGTTTTACCTTTTTTTTGTGTTTTCAGTTACTTTTAGTTTGGCTGCTGGAACAATTAGTAAAATATCTGATTCAAAAGTTGTGTTTGGGTTTTTGTTTTCTCCCACTCTAACTCAATTGCAGGGATTGCAACCTCTAAACCCTAATGAACAATCTGACGGTTTGGTTGTGAGGAATATATCAACTATGCCTGCGCCTAAGAAATTGGTCCAGCCATCACCCAATGGAATGCCCCAACCTCTACCAAGAACCATGCCCCCACCACCTCCACCAAAATTTTGCGATACATCTGAAGTTGAAGTACAAGACAAATACAAGAATTTGCTTAAGACAAAATCTGATGCAGTTCCTGGTTAGAATGAAACCCGCTTTTACTATATTTGGGTCAATGTTGCTCTAATGCTTCATTGTTTTCTTTCTAGCATGGAACATTTATTTTTTGTTTGTTGGCCCCTGTAATTTTATTTTGCAATGCCTTTTTTTTTTTATTAGCCATCTTTAGACTGTTTATGTAGCTTTATTTATTTCAGATACTTTGGTCAAGCTAATGGAATATGGAGAGGAGGATGATGATCTAGACGATTCTAGTGAGGAATCACTTCCTCATGCCACCCAAGCAGTTGGGGTTCAAAAGCCTTTCTGGGCTTTATGAGCTACAAAGTGCACATTGGACATAAGAGATGTAAATATTGGGTTGGGACTAGTTCTTGCTGGTTATGTGTTCTCCCCCCGGTGGAATGGGAAACCCTTAGCTTGATTTTTGGAGCGAAATAGTTGGTTGTTAAGTAGCTTTGTTAAGGTTGTAATTTGCCCATTCTCGTATGCTTCGTGATAGCAGATCGCATGTTGTAATTTTGTCCCTATTAAAGTATACATGCACACTGGTAGTCTCTTTTAGTTGGATTAGTTGGCCACTGAGTGAAGTAACTGTGATAAGGGACAGTTTAATGTCCCCTATTTTGTTAGCTGGCATCCTGTTAATGATTCATCCTGACTGATGATTGAAACTGTGCTTACCAGTTTATATTGAACAAGCAATTGAAAAAGCTATTTTCCTTCATGGTTTACTTTTTTTTTTTAAATACAAATCAGCACCTTTTTCTTGTTGCTGTTTTTTAGTTATGCTCTAATCCAATATTGCCACGTTTTATTTAATTTTTTTAGGTCAATGATTAAAAATAAGCTTAGATGTTGATATGAATTGCCCGATATCCCGTGTTATCTAAATATACTTCATTATTGGATTCTCGTTGAAGTTTTTTGGTTCTCATTCTACCTTGTGGCAGCGACATGAATTTTTTAAAATTTGACTTTAATAAAATGGTGCGGCTACCTAGCAGCTACAGTTCAATGTGCCAGCTGAAGCACCTAGAGTAACACAAGCCATTTTCCGTTTGGCAAAAAAATCAAGTCGCATCTTTAGAGGTGATCACAGCTGGGTTATTGAGAATCATTGTGAAACAACGTGATGCGGGCAAAGCTGAGGCAAGAAGTACCAAAGAGCAAGTCATTGGGGGAACCTCACGTATTAGTGGCAGAGTGGTTAGGAAACCTGCCAAGTTACTTGATTAGACAGTTTTGAGAATTTCCCTCACTTATATGCGTGAGGTTATTTGTGTGCCATGTGGGCCCTTTACCCATTTTCTGTTATTGCAATATTCCATTCTATATAGTTGTAATGATTGAGCAATGAAAGATAAGAAGAATATTACTCAGCACTCTCTCTCTCTTATTCTCTCTGCTTCCCTCATCCTCTCTCTTCCTGATTCCTCCCTCATTTTCACCTTAACACTGCATCACAACGTAAAGAAATCTCACTCTTTGGGCTACCAGGTGTTATCTTATTGCCAATTTTCAGAATGAGGCCTTACTAAGGCTTTTTCAGTTTTGGTTACGACATTTTAAATGCCAATGTATTACCTTCAGGAATATTGACGCCTTCAAATTCTTTTTCGAGTTTACAATTATTGTTAAAAGAATTAATACTTCGAGCAAGTCACATGATTTCTTGATGCATCTTATTAAGGTATTCAAAGGGTTTTGGCGTGAAGAGTACGAAGTGTAACCCAAATAATTTCAACTCTAATAAGCTATTGCCATCACTTGACCTTGATGGCTTTGAAAATATTTTAGGTTCCTTACTGATACGTGAGTTCCTGCTGCTACCAACAATGTAACTAGCTAGCATTGCTATTGCTGCCGCCTGCCACTAGTTCCATTCGTATAATTATCAACATTTCCATATCCACCGTCATCAAAACTTGAATGTAGCAATTGTGAACCCTATTTCTACTATCGGCCTAACTGAAATGATTATCAACTTGTTGGGATTCTTCATTACTCAAATGGTTTTCCAAAGGCAATTGCCATGAGATCCTTACTCAAGGAATTTCAATTCCTACTTTTCATTCTTAAAACATGTCACTTAAGATTATTGTCTGCATATAAGTTTTGTATATTTGTTCTCATCATTCCTGGTGTCAAATGGTTGAAAAATAAAATCATTCTAAATGAAGTTCGACTCCTAGAAAATCTTATTTTACATCAGTCCATGAGCTGACAAACTATCAAGTTCAAACCAAACAATGAACTTCTGAAATAATTGTTAACACATTTATCATCAACCCCACAGGTTAAATGCTCTAGGCAAGGAATTTCTTTCATGGTGAAAATTCTTTCACCCCCGGGTCTGAGCATAGTCATCATTGTTCTCCTTCACATTTTCTTCAAGTGGCTCAATGAATTCATCATTGTCAGCGCCTGTTCCGTCATTTTGGTTGCTACCAAATTGACCATCATATCCCAAACCAGACTTGCCGCTACCTGAGTCAAGATCCCCACCAGAATTTTCATTGAATTGGTAATTACTAGCATCAGCACCACCGGTGTAACTAGTTTCAGCATTGCCACTGCCATAGCTGCTCGTAACACCATAACCACCACTTCCATAACTTCCACCCCTACTGTCATTACCTCCATAGCCACCTCTTCCATAGCTGCCACCACCACCGCCATAGCCGCCGCCACCATATCCGCCACTGCCACCAGAGCCACCTCCACCATAGCCGCCGCCACCACCACCAAACCCTGGTCGTGACCTTTCTGTAGCATAATTCACCCGTATCCTCCGCCCATGAAGATCCTGTAACACTATTATTTGAGATGCCAAAGAAAAATCATCTACCTTTTAAAAATTGCAGACATTAGGCAAGATTAATCTACTGAAACTAACAGTAACGATTGACTCCAAATTCTAATACAATTATAGTATGACTAATTGTATCCTGATTTCTCATTTCTTTATTAAAATAGGCAAGATTAAATTCTAATTGGTAAAATATTTTACTGAATGTTATTTTTTCAAATTCTCAGCGTTGGTTCTGAAATCTAATTCCGTATGTTGCAAGAATTTGCTTGGTTTCCAAAATAGTATTATTTGTAAACTGAATCTTGGAATAAAAAAAAAGTGTAATAAAGATTACTTAGTGTAAAGCATTATTGATGACAAGAATATATTATGCAGTTATCACAAGTTATTTACACTCAAGTTCAAGAAGCCTCAACCATTACAGAATAAAAGCTTTTGAGTTTGAAGCTTAATGTCTGAACCTGAACTCAATCAAACTTGCATATACAACAAAAGTTATCATCTTAGAGATTAACATGTCTACCTTAACTTGGCCAAATAACAGCACTCGCTTACTCCAGGCACGCAATACAAGATTTTTCACTACTTAATATATAATATGTAGACAACCTTATAATTTCTTCATATATAAGGATATAACATGCTTACCATGTGAAGAAGTGGCATGCATGTCAAATTAAAAAGTTGGCACGGAAAACTGATAATACCTGGCCATCCATGCCCTGAATGGCAGAAGATGCATCCTCACTGGTTGCATAAGTTATGAAGGCAAAACCTCTTGACCTGCCTGTTTCGCGATCCGTAATAACTTTGGCTGGAAGAATATCCAAAACAAACAATTTAAGTGCTGAATTCAATAAGCATCATATTATGAAACATGTATGCTTAATGCAGACAATTTTTTTAATGATTGTTATAAGAACATTTGGTTGCTGCTTGCCAGTTTGTCACACTACAGATGATGGCAATCAAACCTCTCTATTATCAGTTTATCACTAGCAACTACAATGGTGAAATTAATTCTAAGAAAACAGAGGAACAAAAAAAAGTACACCTACAAAAGAAACAATGACATAAACACAACTATAATTCAGTAGCCTCTATTTTTATCAAAACAAAAGAAATATCCACTCTATCAAACTATACGCATAATGAGTATCACATTGGAATTTTTTTTCTCTCTGAAATTTAGATAATAAAAGGTTTGCAATCAATTTTTTCTCTGAGGAGTGCTAGCAACACACTTTTATTTTTTTGAAAACTATAAAATTAGGAGAAAGAGTCATTGAATAAGAGGTGAGAGCCACTAAAATTTGTGATTTTCAATAAATTTCAACCAATAATAGGGTCTGTTCAAAAGAGTATTGGAGAGTGTGTTATACTAGCACTTTTTATTCTTTTTAGCATGATATTACCTCTACCTGAAATAATGAAAAACTAGTAGACAGTGTAAGTCTGAAAAGTACCGTCAATTACTTCTCCATAGCGGCCAAAAGCCTCTCGCAGACTCATATCATCAGTGCTGTAAGAAATACCTGTAAAGAAAATCGAAATAATTATTGCTAAGTTCCATTCTGAAAATAAAAAATAAAAAAATCAGTATGATAAACTAAAGTACCTCCAACAAAAAGCTTTGCAGATGACATGGATCTAATTGCTTGGAAAATTGAAGGAGTAGACACAGAAAAATCTTGATTGATATGCTTGACAGCAGAATTCTTGAGCAGACTTCCAATTTTATTTAAGAAAGCCATTGCTAAACCCTACAAAAGCATCACATGGCAAAAAGTTTATACAGCATACTAATTGTGCAACGTAACTTATGTTCTGCAGCATTAAATAGTTCCACCCCCAGATCACTTTCTTACACATCAAAAGGAATCATTCATCCAATTGCAGGCTAATTTCTCATTAGCCACAACATAAAATTAAAAGTGACAACCAAGGATTGTGGAGTTGCGGTTCAACTCCACACTCCACAGCATCAAGTCTGTGGGGTGTCTGGTTCAATCCACCTGGCAGACAGACTACAGATTGGGTCCTACATGGGGGGAAAAATGTGTCCCACGTTTAATGGCATGGATGATCTCATAGTCATGAACTCATGAATAAATACCTCCAGAACCACCATCAGAAGCAATTCATTTCCCAATTAAAATTATAAACTTATAACAGCCATTTTGCTACCGAAATTTTGGCTTCCCAGGACCCTTGCTATTCACCACACTAGAATGACACTGCAACAGGGAAACTCTACTTATGCTAAATACACACATATATGCAGTAGATATGCCACAAACTTCTAATCCAAACGCCCCATAAACCAAGAAAGCATAAACATAATAAGAACCATAATCGAGAAAACCCACTTGTATTTTACACACACAAATTTTTTTTGTTGCAGATAGTAAAAAATATAATCTTTCATACCATAAAGCATAACAAAAATCATGGAAGTATATCTCAATTTGTTGTAAAAATAAAAAAATAACAAAAGGAGAGAAACAAACAAGCGCTACAGACCGAATAAACAAGGGGATGCGGAGAAAAAAGAAGCAAACAAGCTTTCAGAGAAGAAGAGTGAAATAATGAGGGGAGTAGGAAAAATGGGTCGAGAGAAAGTTTGGAACTTGAGATCTTACCACCCTTGAAAAGCACAGTGGGGGTTCAGGTTCTGTTCTCTTCTCAGGTGTGTGAAGCTGCTAAATACTAAAACCCTTCACACTCCACGCTGACCTAATTTAGGGCTTTGCCTCTGCAGCTTGACACGTGGCCACTCGGGTGATGCTTCTGAGATTTTGGTTTTTGGTGTTCAATGTGTTTGGACTGTGATTTTAAAAATTAATTATGCTTCAACTTAATTTTGTGAATTTAAGTTCAGCTAAAAATAGATTTAGTGTAATTTGATTTATGTTTAGATATTTTTATTTTAAAAGTATAAAAGTTGTTTGAATGATATTAATTAAAAATAGTTTTAAATATGTGATTATTAAAACAAATATAAATTTTATACTGTAATATTAATATTATTTATTTTACTATTTTTTAAATATATTTGAATTGATAACATGTTACTGCATTATTATTACATTTCAAAAAAATTGATGCTAATATTATAAAATTAAAATAATAAATACCTGCAAATATTGTATTTTAAAAAATTAATATTAATATAATATTGATGATGGTTTGTTTCTTAATATTAATTTGAAAAATATGAAACTAGAATAATAAATTTAATGAAATTATTGAAGTTTGTAGTTATTTTTTCATTTACTACATAATTGTACTAATAATTGAATATATATTATTATATTTTTATTATACTAACTAGAAGGATAAAGGCACGAAGTGTCTCTAATAATTATTTACTAATAAAATATTAAAAAATTGTGTATAATTATTTAAAAAAAAATTAAGATTTTTTTTTAAATCTGGGAGTATAATGGTCCATTAAAAAATGAAGACCAAAAAGCGGTTACATCTCCTATATTCCCTTTATAATAGTTATAGATACATGAATGTATTCATATTTCTTTTTGTGTCATTTATCACAAAAATAAGGAATCCAACCTTTAAATTTTAACGACATTTTGAGAGAAATGATGTTTAACTCAACGAAAAATAAAAATTGTCAAATATTTCAATAACTCGTTTAATGAAATTCAAACATTTGATCTAAGATTCAAATGCAAAAGTAAACACACTTTAAATATATGTTTGAATTATAGTTCAAAAAATTGAGTTTAATTGTTCAATTAAAATGGGTATAAGATTATTTGATTCATATTTGGATACCTTTATTCTAAAAATACTTTTATCAAAATAAACATTTGTTTGAGTGACAATAATTAAAATTAGTTTTAAATATGTAATTACTAAACTAGACATACATTTTATAATAAAATATGAATGTTATTTTTTAATTATTTTTTTAGGGATCTTTGAATTGATAAAGTATTATTAAATAATAATATTAATAATAATAACGATAATGAGATGATATTATAAATTAAATAATAAATAATATTAAAATATTTCCATAAAAATAATGTTAAAATATTCTCTTGTCATTACGTATGACAATGCTTGCATTGGGTTTTATTTATTTATTTTATTTTTTCTCAATTCATATAGGTGCATATGTGCATGGCAAGTATGTTCAGGAGATCACTACCAACATGAGATAGTACGAGGTATTTTATACTTGGGAGCCATTCCAAATTAATAATTTCAATTGAAAAGTAAAATGTCGTTAATGTCAAAACAAAAGTAACAAAAATGTTGCTTTGATTGAAACCAACGTTGAAGTAAAAAATATATTCAAACGCAACACAAAGGAAAACAACCAAACAAACGAGTGTATCATTTTGTGACTTATTAACGTTCATTCAAGTATGCAAATGTTAAACCAAACATATCTTAATTGTATTTGAATTGTAGTTAGAAAATTTAGTGTAGGGTTTTTCCAAACCGTTTTTTTTAAAAAAAACTATTTTTATAGTTTTTGATTCAATTGAGATTTAATTGTAGTTTACATTTAACATAATCGGAATTGTATTTAAGTTTTTCAATCAACAAACAAAAAAATAATAATACTTAATTAAATGTCATATAAACACTAGGTATAAATTATGTAGTATAATTTCACCTAATATTTTTTCACAAGTTTTCCTCAACATTCTCTCTCTCATATCCCTCTCAAAGTATCTACACCAAAGAAGTTTCTAAAATTCCTTTCCCAAGTATTTGTTCATTATGTAAGTATTTTTCAATTAAATAAAAATTACAAATATAGAATTAAAAGTAAAATCATAAAATATATAATAAATCAAACAAATAAATTTATGTATTTTGATTTTGATCATTTATAAGAAATTTAACTATCAATATTTATTCCTCTTATCTTCGCGTTAAAAAAAAAACCCCTCAAACTCATGTTTATAATTTAAATAAATAATTTAGTATGGGCTAGAGTATTCACAAAAAAAAAGGGGCCCACTATAGGTTTGTCACTTGGCAGATGATAAACACACTTCCACTCTTGTATAAACACGTCTTTTTTTTAGAAAAATATATATAAAATGTCTAAATTATCCTTAAAAAAAATAAAATTCCAAAATTTATACCCCCTTCCCCACACCCCTGTACCCCGCACCCCCCTTCCCCGCATCCCAAACCCCCTTTCCCCACACCCCCTTCTTCCTAAAGGGTATCATAATTATTTTGTGTGATGCTCATTTCTATGTTCCTTTTGGTCCTGTCTTCAATTTTCCTACTCGAGTTTAGCAGTCATTCTTTGATACCTAGATCAGTGTTAGAACTTATTCTTGTCAATAACACATGACTTAACTTCATGCCCAATTTGAAGAGAGAACAAGTCATGACCCCTCCCTATCCTCCTGGGGACTCAAATTTTCAAGCACAAAAATCCAGAGAATCGGATTGTCAAGCTTCTGATTCAATCCGGAAAACAACTTCTGCAGGAGGTCTTAACTTGCAGCACAACATGGAATACTGGCTCACCCTTGATCTTCTGTCATCATCAAACATGGCAAAAGTTGGCCAGCCTTGCACTGCAATTAGAGTGAAGGATTCAAGTCAAGTAGATGTAATTTTTGTGCCGTTTTTCTCGTCTCTGAGTTGGGGTATGGGGTGTGGGGGTGTGGGAGTGTGGGGAAGGGGGGTGCGAGGTACAGGAATGCAGGGAAGGGAGGTGTAAATTTTGGAATTTCATTTTTTTAAGGGTAATTTAGACATTTTATATATATTTTTTAAAAAATGAGGTGTGTTTATACGAGAGTGGAGGTGTGTTTATGCCTTGTCACTTAGCATTCCAATCCCAAAATGGCCCAGGTTTGAAATCCATTAAAGACTGGCCATAGCAGTTTTTTTGTTTTTATTAATCTCTCTAGAAAGGAAATCTCTTGTTAGAGACATAAATGACTCCTCCAAGCCCAATTTGATCGGATAGTTATGTACATTTTCTAACGAATAAAAACGACTTAAATTATTATTTATGAAGTAGTCTTTACTCTTTAACATAATAAAATTATACAAATAGTTTTTGAAATATTATAAATTATGTTATATATCCCATTATATATTCTACAACTTTTCAAATTATTCATTCAAAGTTAATAAAATATATAATATTTTTTAAAAACTACTCATATAATTGTATTACTTAAAAGATTATAAGGAAAAGAAAACAATGCTCGAAGGACCGGTTTATTCTTTTTCTAATTCACTGCAATAGTATATAATTTGTTTTAAAATGTGGCAGGATCTCAACCTCTAAAGTACACATTTTTATACATTATACAAAAAAAAAGAAGTTAAATACGTTGTCAAATTAAATGAGTTAGCTCAATTATTTCATCAGCTTAAGTTATTATAATCTTTTAATATTTTGAATCATTAGGATTGTTTTAGTAATAATATGCATAAAATTTTATGTTTGAACTTTGGTGTAATCAACTAATTCTAGTACCATCAATGTAATTTCAATGAATAAAAATAAATCCTTTAATATTCTACTTATAACAAAGATGCAGTTTTCTAACGTTGGTAAACATAACTGCACCCATGCTTGTCCATTAAATTTTGTTTTAAAAGCGACTTGACTCAATTTCAATTCCTATTTTCCCATTGCTATTCAAAAGTAAATGCCTAGAAATTCATTGAAGCATCATGTTGATTCTTGATATGGAACGATGGACAAGTGAAATTCAATAAATGAGAAGAAAAGATTGTAACATTGTAGATGTTGAAGTTTCTTTTGACTCATTCCAAGTCTGCAACATTAGTATTTATTTCCCCCTAAAGTATGCAAATACTACTAAATTCGCTTCTTCAGTAGTTGGAAAACTTAGCTATTCTTACGAAATTGAGGTTGATTGAGACTAAAATCCGTAGAGTTAGGACAAGTTCTGACCTAATCAGTGACACACGAATGAAAATGTCCTCTACCCGTTATTACTGCTACTTAGTGGCAGCAGAATTAACCAAGTTTGGTTTTCAACATCCTGGGGAATTGAGGATGTGACCAATGAAGATCTACCATGTGACATGATTTTGTTGACTTCTTCCAAGCCTTAAAAATTGTTGAATGTACAAGTATCTCTACACCCCAACACACTCCAGACAACCATAATTCTCAATTGCACCATGTGATTTGTTTCTTAGTCATTTAATCCAGGTCATTGTCTGTAAAGTTTTTGTTAGTTTGGTTGAATTAATCACATCCTTACTGTGTTGTGGCCCCAATTCAGGTTTTTTTTCTTTTTTGATGATCAAATGCATTGTGTAAAATCTTTGGTTTATGGTGATTTAGTATTAACCCTTTTTACCCTATTTATGTTAGTGGAAATCTATAAGAGTAAGATTCTTTCATTTTCCTCAACTATTGTCTTTTCAGAAATATTCGCCCTATTGGTATAATCATATTTAGAATCTCCTTCTTTAATATATTTTTTAATTAAGCTCATGAATGGATATCTATTCAAGCATACCATAAAGCAAAATAAGAGATTTGTGCAAAATAGCACCTGTCATTTATTATAGATATTACTATAATTTAAGCATGTACTTTTATCCTTGATATTCTCTGTTCTTCATTATTTTTATTTTTGATAGTTCAGATTTTGAATTCAAATCACCTATTTCTTTTACCTATTCTTTTCTCTGAAAAAGTCTTACTACAGAAAAAAAAAATCTTCCTTTTAAATGATAACTTTATATTTCTCCCTTATTTTTTTTAATTAGAAGGAAAAGAAACAAGAAGAAAATGAAATTTTCATGTGCCAATATTTTTTGAGGGGGTTTAAGTACGATTTCATAACTAATATTTATTGAGTCTGTTTGTTTAAAAAAAATTTCTTATAAAAGTGTTTTTTTTTAATAAAATAAGCACTTTTAATTTTTGTTGTGTTTGTCTAAATTTTTTTTATATATAAATAGTTTTTTTTTTTCAAGAAGCAACTCTTGTATACTTTTTAAATAATTATTTTTTTTTGAAAATACTTGTGTAATATTTTTAAATCCGCTTAGAATTTCAAAATTATAGCTAAACAAAAATTCCAAGAAACATATTTTTTACCTTAATTGCTGGCCTTAAATCTGTTGTGTGAGACCGCTCAAAATCTCAGCCACAAATACAAATTCCTTGGTGAAGAAGCATGGTTGGTACCGTTAACCATGCATAAACTTTTTCATAAGAGTAAAATGAAACTCATAAGTGAAAATTAGTTTATATATAAATTAATTTATAATTTTTTATATTAGTTTTGTTTAAAAACATATTTTTAAAATATACATAAATTAGTTCTAACTTATAAAAAAAATTATTTTATTTAATTTTTTTCCTTCTATTTTCTCTCTCTTAAAAGTGTTTAATTTATCTAAATATCTCCTAAAAATTTCTTAAATCTTTTAAAAAATATTTTTAATTACAACTCACCTTATCAAATATCCAAATTTATATAATACATATTAAAAAAAAAAAAACGGATTTCAGGGCATAGTTTTTGGACAAAGGGTAAGGATACTTCATTATTCAAAACAAAAGGTGCATCTCTAGTCCTCAAGTAGGACTATTGCCACATGGCAATTGGCATTAACTTGGCATATACAGAAACAATAACGTGTCAATATGCTCCAGTCATACTAATATTACAATTAAAATAAAGCCAACCAATGATGACCTTAAGCATTTTCATTTGTTCAATCTCATTCAAAACCCCATTTTCTTTAAACCTTTTCCACGAAATATTAGTTTTTTGTTTGGGGTAATCCCTTGGTGGGTACCCCGTATCGGTCCATTAATACGTTTTGGGGGGACTGATAGTGGGGAAGGGGTCTTATATCTTCATAAATCACATGGCATGACAAAAAGAGTTAGGTCCAAATTCAATTTCCCATTAAAAATATTGACCAATGATGCTGACTATTGGACATTTGCACTCATAACTCTCCAAAGATTTCAAGTTGCTCAAGGAAGTGTCTCTTTCGGTTAATAGAGTTGCACTTCCAGGAGGAAAAGACCAAGTGCTCTTCACCAATTTGATAATAATCACTGTTTGACTCTTCAAACTCTCCTGCTTATAAGTTAATGTAAAAATTTCCCATTTTAGTTTAAAAGTACTAATTTTATTTTTAAGATTTTTTTTCTATAACTATGCTTGTCTCATCTCCTTTCAACAAAAAAAAAAAATCCAAATATCTTTCACCTGAAAATGATGGCACTGCAATTGGTAACTAATTAATATTTTGCAGGCCGATTGGTGAATGCATCTACCATGAAAATTTCAAGGTTGACTTCAAATGTCTACATTCCAGACAATTTCATCAGCTACAGGTCAAATTCACAATATCTTTTTTTGCCTTATCAAGAGCCATTTTTGAAACACCATTCCTTGATGACCATTCACTGGAGTCAAAATATATGCTTACCGGTTATTTGACTTGGTTTTTGGTCTTTCTCTTGTGCCTCCAACATAACTTGAAGTTCTAAGCAAGTTAAAACTGTGCTGTGGTGCAGGAATTACAAGAGAAATTGAATATAGAACCATGTTTTTCATTAAGGCCAGTATTACTATTTAATTATCTCCATCCTTTTAGATTTATTGCATGTCTTCAACACAAAAACTTTAAAGAGAAAGAAAACAGAATATCGTGTTAGGCCTATTATGGAATCAAATTTAAGTAAATCAAAAGAATACATTGCAAAAGGGCAGCATAACTCTGAATCTCTTACAATCATTACATATAATACACACTACGTGGGACAATAAGGCTTTGACACGGATCCTAGCCTGTTTATGAACACATAGAAGCCTGTGTTAGATAACAGGGTTATTCTTGCCTATCAGCTATCACCTCCTATGGGGATTTTGCAAACACTTTTGAGACCCTTCAAAGAAATCCATAAGGTAGTTTTGTAAATCATCAGCACTGTACTTAATGTTTTTGTCACTTATGTGACTATTATGCCTTCCAACAAATGTCCTATAAGCTTGGATCACTTTGAGGGATAGAGAAATCCGCAAATCGTCACGAAGCTGAATATCTGGGATAACCCAAGCTGTCTGGATTCTGTAAACATCCTCGAAGCCGAAGTAGAAGCTTCGAAGCTTCTCTTTAAGAAGACTTTTTGAGACAGAATTTGTACCCGGAACATGAATTCCCTCATCCTTAAGCAAGTTGAGAATAGAACTCCAACTAGCTCTCTCATATTTCATTGCATGCTGCTGAAACTTCCAGTTGCGCTTTCGAATCCATTCATCTCCATATACGAGCCTGAGTTCAGACCCCTTAACCTTTTCAGCCATATAATGTAGGTTGTTCATTAAGAACAAATGCTGCAAGGATAACTCTTTGTATAACTTGGACTTCTCCTCAAGGTTGCTCTCCAAGATTGAAGCGATTGATCGGAAGTGGAGGGCCATTGAGGAAACTCTACTCGGAGATCCCTGACTTCTGCTATCTTCTTCTGTACCAGGGCTCATGTCAGGCGACAATGAAATGCCATCCTCTTCTTCTTGGTCCTTCAGAAGCAGATTGAGTATGTCACTGTAGTCAGTAAGGGTTCTAAGATAATTCATAACATATTTTGTCAAAGGATGAATGCCACCACCAACAAAAGCGGTTGATGATACATTTGTTGCAATGGCATTTTCAAATTCAAGAAATGTTGCCCTCACACAATCGCCTAATCTCTTCAGAACCTCGTGACATTCAATCTTAACCGACGAACCAACCTCATCTGAATACAAAACATCAATGTCGGGCATAAGGTCAGCTAGAACCTCATACATGTCAAGAACGCGGAACAGTTTCTCAGGTTGGTGAGGGCCAATAGACATGGCTTCACCGAAATTCAGAAGCTGCAATATCGAAGCCTTTGATGCATCAACAAAACAAGCTAGACCAACAGGCTCACCCTCCCCAAAAATCTGGTCACTAAGCCACCTCTCACTTGCAAGATACACCCTAACAAAGATTTTCACAGCCCAAATCCATCTTTTGATTTTTGAATTCAAATTACCCCACTCCATTTTAAGGACATCCTCGATGCTGAGCCTTTCCATTTCAAGAATGAAGAGGCACTCATCTAAGGCATCCCTCCGGACAATGACATAAGCATTGGAACATTCCTGGACATAGTTAGATGCAAAAAGTAAGTTTGCAATACACCTGAGATCCGGGATCACAGCTGGATGAACCAAGTGAATGATATGCTCCTCGGAGGCTCTGCTGACACTATCTCTTTGAAGTGACTCCTCCACCGATTCATCGCCTATAGAGACTATGGAGTTCTCATCAACAGCATCTTCTTCACTGGATCGAAAAGAGACGTATTCAGGCTCAAAAGGTTGCCTGTTCTGGATAAGCAAGTTCCTGAATTCTTCTTCAAGCCGCGCCATAGCTGTTTGAAGCACACTATAAGCCCTATGCATAAACTTGTACTCTTGATCCTCTTTCTTCAAATGCAAACTTTCCAACTTCTCGATCAAACGGCGTGCTTCATTAGCAGCATTGAGATACTCAGATGCTTCCTCAGGTCCCAAATCCCAAATCATTGACTGATCTTCCTCCCATCTCATTATTTTCTCCTGAATCACACTAAGCCTTTCTTCAATAGCACTAACACCCTCCTCTTGATCATCATCATCAACATCATGGTCACCACCACCAACATGATCATCACCATCATCCCCCCCATGCCCTAGTTTCCCCTCCTCCTTCTCACTAGGTAAGGACATGGAGGACAATCTAGTGCCAAGATCTGCTAGTACTTTCTTGGCATCACTAGTTAAGGTCTTATTTGGCCCTAATGCCTTCACAATATTCCTTACTGCAGCAATCAAGTTCTCCTCCCTTTCTAGCTCCCCAATCACAGACTCAGACTCCTCTACAGCCATTTAAAAACCAGACTTCAACAAAGCGCAATCACCCAAAAAGTTCAAACCTTTTCAACTCCAAACTCAACCTTAATACACCTCTTCAACTCACCAACCAATTTCAACAGCAAAAGTGCATATGGGTAAGAAGAGAAACCACCTTATGCCTGCAGAAACCCCCAAAACAAAATTAATTGTTACCGTAGAAAGCGAAACAAAACCCATTACAACAACCACCAAAATACACATATTGCAACCTCCGATGAATAAGAAACAATAATAAGAGGATAATTATAATAACAACAAAAGGGAACACTTAAAAAGTTTACCTTCACTTCCTGGATAGCAGGAGCACCCCCACAAAATTCTGAGTGAAGAAGAAGCAGAAGAATTAAATGGTGTGCAAGATCTGGAAAAGGACAGAATAAGCATCAAAAGCACTGAATTGTATTTTGACTTTTATGAACGCAGAGACAGTTGTGTGAAAATGTAGAAAGTGAAGGAGAAGAAGAGAAAGCTCCTTCTGAAGCTTTAAAAGAGACAAGTTTAGTTAAAAATATATGTAATATAATAATGAGAAGAAAAAAAAAATGATGGCGTGGCTGCGATTTCTATGACCAATCTCAAACTCGTTTTCTGGCTACAACTTGCTGCCAACAATTACAATCTATATATTTTTCTCTTCAAAATCGTACTGGTCCTCGTTCTGTTTTCTTCGTACCACTTTCACCTTTTCCTTTTTAACACTTTTTCGTTACATTATTGGACATCTTGTTTTTATTATATATAGTTTAGTCCTACATGTAATTTAGTTATTATACATTAAAAAATAGTTATTAATTCGATCATATAAAGAAGTTTATTATAATAGTGAATTTTGTGCTTAACTCAATTTATAAAATAAAAATTATCTTATATATATATATATTTAAATTATTGTGAGATTTAAATTTTTTATATATATCAAATTGAGAATTAGTAATACGAGTAACTTTTTCTTTATATTTATATATAGAGATATACATATATTTGATTTAGACATGTTTTTTTGTGTATTAAATTATTGATTATAGATTAAAAATTAATTTTTAAAGTGAATTTATTTTTAGATGTGAAAATTAGAGTAATATGCACATGATTTTAAACCGTAAATAAGTTGACCAATTTTTGAAATGTTTCTAAGTAAAAATTTAAGAAATTTTGATTTTATTATGTTTTTCTTTGCTTTGAATGCAAACAATAGTTTTTAATGTAACTTCTATTTTGTATTCTTGTAATTTTATTTGATCTTTGTATGAGTTTGATTCACCCAAAAAAATGTGTAGATATTTTAATTTTGAATCCTGTTGTTAGTATTATTTCTATGAATAAAATAATAAAAAAAATTGGTGTAAAAAAATTTTCTTTTATCTTTAAATATTAATATATTAAAATTTAGATATATTTTTAAATTAAGTCAACGGTAAGATATCGTTAGTTATTATAAGAAATCAGCAGTTTAGAACAACATTTACAAATTTTTTTAAGACCCGAATATATATAATTTGAATTGCATGCACTCAATTAATAAAATATTAAATTATTATTATTTTATTGAATAAATATTATTTTCTATCAACAAATACATGCATGGATCAATTGATATTTTAATTTAATTGGTGTATAATAATCTTACTCTACTTTAATACAATTATTTTTCGTGGAAGATGATACATGTAATTTATGCTATAAAAAAAGATACATTATTATCTTCATTTGATATTGTTTGTCCTTTAAATAATAGATAGAGTAGATATTTTTTTAGAAATTATTAATTACTCAAATTAATTACTACGATTTCTTTTATTAAAAACCATAAAATGTAATCCTAAATTTATTTAAAAATTTGGTTAAAATAACGAATATATTATTTAAAAAATAATTGTGTGTGTGTGTTTTTAAACTTTTTAAAGCAATAAATATTTTGAAATAAATAAAAATATCAAAGAAACATATAATATTTGTTTTTGGTCACAAAAGAAACATGTAGTATATTAATATGATTTGGAGGAACTATTTTCACAAGTATATCAATCAATACATTTTTAGGGGTAGCAATGTTTTAAACTTTGTTCACGTGATGTATCAACAAGTTCATGCACGAATTTCTTCTATCACTGTTGTACTTTTGACTTCTAAGACTCCAGTACGTCTTTTTCTTAGAGGAGTTTTTCTTCCTTCATATTGACAAATATATTTTGGTTAGGTCAGTCCACAATAATACTTTTACCACGTTTGGATAACTTTCTAAATAAGAAGAAAAAATGATAAGTATTTCTTTCGCAGGGATTTATTAATTCATGCAAGAGTGTGTCAGTCCTTTACACGCACACGTACACATATATATCTCCAAGCATGATGTTACAGAGTATTTTGTTAGAAAAAGAAAAGTTATTAATACATAATTTTGATACCTTTAGAAAGGGATCGAGTTTGGTATAGTTGGTAGTATTGTGATTTGTGATAGTGAATAATTTGGACGGCACAAATTTAATGATGATAATAATAAATACACAATGAAGAAGGTGACATTAAAGTATAATTTCATGTCTGGGCTCCATTGTTTTGTTGCTTTATGGACTTCTTTTTCTTAATTATTTCTTTCTTCTCTTTTTCTCTAAACGACACTGCCTTTCCATTATCACCTCATTCATTATTGTCGCACAAAATGACCTTTCTTTCACACCAAAGTACTGTAAAACACAACACACCTTTGGTCACACTGCGTGATTTAATGTTCTACAATTACAACATCCACATTTCTTGTGCTGTGTTGCTGGATACCACTAAAGGAGACACCAAAATAAAATCTACTACCAATTTAACAAGGCATTCATCATTAACTGAACATCGATAATAAATGAGATTAATTTCTCATTCAGTAAATTAAAATATTTGTTATAGGAATCTATTTAGAAAATAGTGATGATTATTAAGTTTGATATAGAGTTTATTTGAATATAAGTTAAAAATATTTTTATAACAATATTGAACTTTCAATTATGGTATTGTGGAGGTGAAACTTAACTAATGTGTACCTGTTGAGCACAGTAAAAAAAAAATCCAATAACAACAATATAGTTTTAAGTCTTTCAAATTGAGGTAGCCAATTAGAAAATTTTCATCACAAGTCTCTACTTCATACCTTAGTTGATGCATTCTTTTCCTCAATTGACTCATTCTCTTAGCTGAAACTCAAAACAAGTATAACTCTGATCATCTCTCCTTGGCAAAAAAAAACAAACAAACAAACTTTATTTCACCTATTTCATAGATCTTCTGAATATTGGAGGCAAATTTGACCACATATCTCATTCTTTTTTTTAGAAAATAAGGAACGCAACTTAATTATAACGTTTTGATGGAAAGAATAATGGCAAAGATCAAAACGAAGAGCTGAACTTCAGGCTCTATATATCCTATGTTAGCTAGTAAACTTTAATTGGTATCTTTTCTCTTCTAAGAGTATTAATCTCATTTCTTTGTTTTGTCTACGAGTGTTGTTAGACTAGAGCAATCAATGTGAGTATCCTTTTTCAAACTAATAATGAATATCGTGAACATTAATAATAATCATGACTTTTATCTTTTTATTCTAGTTAAGAAATAAATATGATAAAATATTTTCTTGATCCCTCTAAATATATAAAAGTTGGATTATGATTCTTTTCTAAATGTGATTTTTTTCTTCTTTCAATTTTGTGGTAGTTAATGTTGAGTTCTCGAGTTCTTCAAACCTCCCATCATTATATGTACAAACTAGAGCAATCATTATTGAAAATAAATAAATTAACAATATACTTGGACAAGAACTTTAGAAGCACCTCAAATACCCTGACCTTCTAGAGCCTCGAAATATTTTCTATACAATGCATTGAAGCAAAAGAATTCGAAAGTTGACCCGACAATCATGGTATATATACGCTTTAGATTATAGTCAAACTGATCGTACGAAATGAAATTAAAAATGATGTAGCTGCCAAAGATTGAAACTTCTTACGAATAGCATAAAACATAAGTCACCAATATTAGGTAAACCGTACCTCACTTTTGCAAATATAATAAATGATGCAAGGAATTTAGAAAGTCTCCTGTGTGTCAAACATGGTAAACTTGTGAAAGTAGATTCTACCTCGTGGGCTAGTGGCTTCCCTTCAAAATGGGTTAGGTTGAGTAAAAAATTTAATTAATCAAAAAAATTAATTTAGATTAATTTTGACTCGATCCATTTAAGTTAAATTCGTGGTGGGTCAGATTGTTCACTTAATTTATTTATATTTTCATCAACTTAACTCATCAATGATTCACTTAAATTTAAAAACATTTATAATATGCAAAATATTCTCTGATTTGATCTAAATGGAAACAGCCAGCAAATACAATTGTCATAACTATTTTATATGGAACATCCGCATAGAACCTACCCATAAGTTGTGCGAAATTAAACTCTAATCTTTAGTTAAAAATACAAACATTAAATTATTTATACAAACAACTTTCAATACTCGCGTCATATTTGATTCCTTAAAAATATTAATTAACATATGGATGAGTAAATAAAATTAAAAATGCACATTTTAGATTTTAGAATCGACCCTTGCTCTTTAATTCCACCAACCCCTCTTGTTAATTAGTTGACAACGAAAAATGTCATAAACTTTGTTCAGAACGATAAAAAAAGCAATAGAAATTAGAACCTCTAGGCTTTTACACTTGTTTCTCTCTCTCTCTTTTTTTTTTCTTTCTCTTTTTTTTTCCCCCTTTTGTGTTTCCTTTCTTCCCCTCCATTTTCCTTTTTCTTAGCACCATCTTATTTTTCCCTTATTTAGGACTTGGGAAGAGGCTTTCCTGCAAGGAATGATGTGAATAACTGAAGGGCTGCTCTTGGCTTGAATAGTGGCACTTCATGCCCTGCTCCTCTCACTGTCGCAAATGTTACCCCTTCGTACACCTCTGTCCACCCTCCAACCTTCACATAAATAACCAAAATTTAATTAATTTATATGATTTTTTGATAACTAAGATAAATTATAATCATAATAATAAAGATTGAATCTAAATTTTCATATATCTATCTTTAACTCCTCGACCACTAGCTAGAGTGCTTCTAATTTATATAATTTTAGCTGTGAATTGATTTTCTATTTCGATATAAATGTACCCTTATATTATATATATATATTCACATGTAGAACCATTCAAGGACACTAGGACCCCTGCACTAGCAAGTTCAACATTTGGCATTTATTAGGACAATATTTATTTTGAATCAACATAGACCAAAAAATTTAATCAAGAGCATTAACTTTTTTTTTTTTTTTTTTATACGTAATGCGGTAAACATGGGATGACATCCCATGATTAGTGGCCAGAAAGTCAATGGCATCACAATGATTTTCAAATCAAGTACTATTATTTATTTAGTAATTAGTTAAAATATAGGAGTGTCTAATTAATTTAATTAAATCTTATTTTTCAAACTAAAAATTAATAGAGACAAATCAAAAGAATTTTACTTCAGACACTTAAAAAATCTTTTTGAATAAATATATTCACTAAAATAAGATTTATAGTCGTCCAAAAATTCAAATTCA